GCCGGGCTGGGGATTCGAACCCGCCACCTTAGGTGTACGTGGCTGGCGCCTTAGCCGGTTGAGCTATAGGTGCCGATCCCTCCAACTCAAATTTTAAATCCATCCCTAAAGCTGAAAACATTTTCAGGCAGGAAAAACTTAACAGCTCAAAGCAACTAGTGGAGGGGGGGAATTATCCGTGGAGGCACTGATTTTAGCTTAAAGAATTTGGTAACACTTTAAAAAAAAGTTGAGGTTGGGTGGAAAGAATCCACTCAACCCTCCTCAGGAAATGGGATGTTTACGGAGAAAACAAGGGGTAGTCACAGAAACACCTGCGGCCCCAGGGACGTCGCGACCCATCAACGCTGCCTCCGGGCCACATCCGGGCACTTACGTACCAAGCCCTGACGTCCCGACGTCCGAGCCGTTTGGCTTATTTGAAACACACGCACAACCAATCAGCCGGCGCCTGCCGGCGGGGGGGGGGCGGTTGGAGAGCAGCGACCAATCACCAGCTCTGTGGAGCCTCCAGCCTATGGGGAGGAGTTCGGACGCTCGCGCCAATCACCATGGCTCTCCGCGGGAGGGGCTCGCGTTTTGAATTGGCTGTGGCGGCCACCGGCGGGGAATGGCGGTGTCTGTGAGAGCAGCCGGAGTTTGAAAGCTGGAACTCTCAGGGCTTTCTTTTTGAGAGTGGTGAGGATTGTGCGTGTGATGAGCGGGGCGGGAGGGCCTCGGGAGGGGCTCCCCCAGAACCACGGGCCCGTTTGCCTGCGGCGACCCCCCGCCCCGGGGGCCGCGAGTTCCGGGCGCCCCGCTCGGCCGTGGGTCCCGCCCCGGGCCCGGAGTTGCGGGCGTCTGGGCCGCGCGCCGGGCTGCCGCTCTGTGGGAAGGGTGTGTGCGGAGCAGGGTCGGGGAGCGAGGCCGCGGGAGCGCCGGCCGGGGCCCCTGGTGACTTGTCTCAGTGCATGCTGGTGTCGCTCTAAGATTCGTCTTGGTTTTCTGCGTGTAATGGGCCATTCCCATCGCCAGCCTTGCAGGCACTGATACGGAGTGGTTAAAACCACAACCTCTGCAATCGGCCGGCTTTGAATTCCTGTTGTACCACTGACAGTGTGACGGAGGGGGAGTCACTTAGCCTCGCTACGCCTAGGGCCTCGTAGGATTGCTGCAAAGATTAAACAAGTACAAGTGAAAAGTTAGGACAATGTCTGCCACACGTGAAGGGTTAAATAAATGGCAGTTGTTAATCACAAATTTTATTTCTGGGATAAAAAGGGGCCCTGTGTTGATGATGTATTTAATTAGAAACTCTTTAAATCTGTTCTTGCGTGAGAAGTAGGCTGCATTGGTTTATGACAATTGATCGTATTGTAGTTTATATTAAAACCTTCTGCAATACAAGAATGTGAAAAACAGTGCTTGGTATATTTCTTTTTAGTTATGTCATCAATCTGCCAGGCATCTCATTTCTCTGTAAATTCCACAGCTGTTTTGGCAATAAAGTGAACATACTGTATCATCAGGAACAATTTTAATTATTATTTTTTTAGAGACAGGATTTCTGTTACCTAGGCTGTAGTGCATGGTCATAGCTCCTCTTGGGCTCAATTGATCCTTCTGTCTTAGCCTACTGAGTAGTTGGGTCTACACACATAGGCCACTGTGCCTAGCTACTTTTTAAATTTTCTTTTAGGCCTGTGTCTCCCATGGTGTCCAAGCTGGTCTTGAATTCCTGACCTCAAGTGATCTTCCAGCTTTGGCCTCCGGAAGTGCTGGGATTACAGTCACAAGCCACCTTATTTGGCCAACAATTATTATTATTATTGGGGACAGAGTCTGTTTCTAGCACCTAGGCTAGAGTGCAGTGGCATCATAGCTCCCTACAACCTCAAACTTCTGGGCTCAAGCAATCCTCCTGCGTCAGCCTCTCAAATAGCTGTGACTACAGGTGTACACCTCCACACTCAGCAGCTAATTTTTCTATTTTCTGTTTAGATGGGAGCTGTACTTGACCAGTTTTAATTATTAATTACCTGTTTTGATTGTCTTGAAAGAAGGAAGTATAGGAGAAGAATGTAAACATTTGCATATGCTGTTTTTGATTTATTAAAATCTCTCCTTTTCTAATGCTAAAGTAGGTTAGTTTATGTCTTGACTTTATTGTTTTATCATTCTTTTTAGGGATCTTTGAATGAAAGTCTTTTTAAAGCTTTTTCTTATTCATAGGAATGGATTGAGTAGTACGCAGTATAAACAAAAACGTAAGGACTGGATAGAATTAATTTATTGATTTTAAATTAAGACTGTTAAAACTATTGGAGCTTCTTTGGATAGCCTTAGAATAATGATTGACCTGGATATATGGTGAAATAATAAGAAATAGTCCCATTGTGATTATAATATGAGAATTAATAGTTAATCATTTTAAGACATCGTCTATCAGTTTTCATCACAATTGTGTTTGTGTAGTTTACTATGTCTGTTTCACCTATGTAGAAACTGAAGCTTAACCTACTAAGTACAGAGCTGATACCGAAGCTGAGTTACCTGACTTTGAAGTGTCACCTAACAACTGTGCTTCAGTCTGTTAGTGTGCAATTTTTACATTACTTATTATCACTCTTCAGAAATGATACTGATGATACCTTTCTATTTCTCCATGGCATATAGTTTAAACTATTACTTAGCTAAGAATCTGGAGGAAGGTATTTCTATATATTTTTAATATAAAGTAAATCTGACATGTACCTCTAGATAAAGATGGGGGCTCCTTTATATTTGTCTAGTATTTTAGAAATTAACTTCAAGGTTATTTATATAAAAGCTTTTATAAAAATTTGAACTGATGAGAGAGAACCTATTAAGCTTTTTATGTATCCTTTGCCTAACTTTTAAACTCTTAAATCCTGGAAAATTTAAAGGATTTTCTTTCATAGGACAGAGTCATAATGGTGCTAACGCATGCATAATGGTCTTGTCAAATGTTTTAGAGAAGAGATGTTTAAGTAATATGAAAACCCTTAAGGGAGCAGTCCAGTTATACATGAGAGGCTCAGAGACATCCATAGGGTGTGATGTGAGTCAAGAGTGGTGGCTTGATGTGTTAGAAGATATGCTATATGGAGAACTGAGCACCATTTAATGCAAATTGGTATGAAATAAATTGTGATTGAAGTTTGAAAAATGCTGAGAAGTTCATTGTTGCTGTTGCATAGATTGTATGGGGACTGTTGGAGTTAGTTATAGGTGATCAGCTCGAAAAGGTAGGCTAGGACAAAATTATGAACTGTGGGAAATTTGGACTTGGTCATATGAAGAGAGGTATGCAGGGACGTTATATGGTCTTATTTGTTTTTAGGAACAAAAACCCCTTAAAACCATGTAGAGAGTGATGTCTAAAGAAACATGATAAAGTTGTTTGGAGCAACAACAATATTAGGTCCAGTACCATTGTGGCATTGGGCATAGAGGGGCCAGGTTCCAGAGATACTTCATGGGATTGATAGGAGTTTGAAGAATGTGGTACAGCAAAGGGGAATGGATTCCACATTTTTGGCTGGGATTATTGGGGGTGGGAGTATTAAGGTGATATTAGAGTAACATTTATGGCCATACTTTGAGTGCTAATTATATGTCAGGTAATGTTCTGTGTGCTTTTGATGCATTGTATTATTTATACTATGTTGTGGGTCAGGTATTAATGTTTATTTTTATAGAAAAGGAAACTGAGGCTCAGAGATGTTGAGTGACTTTCTTTGGTTAAATATTAAGAAAAATGGGTAATAATACTTTTTATAAATTCTAGATATAGAATTAGAGCTCTAGTGCTTATTTCATTTTTGCCTGCTGCTCATGTTTGTTTCATGCATTTTTCAAATTTTACTTTTCAGCCAACATAGAAGAGTTGAGACCATGGCTGGAAATAGTTTATTGTCATCCACTGAGAGGACTAGTTTGGCAGACTCATCCATTTTTGATTTTAAAGTTACTGAAACTTCCAAGGAAAACTTATGTGTTGGATCTGCTTCATATGTTGAAGGTACACTTATTATCTGCTTTAAAAGATGGAATTGCGGCTC